CCCCTATCATGTCTTGCTCTCTCCTTTCTCTCTCTTCATCTCCATGAAAATGAAGATACAACATACCCAAAATTATGTTATACAATGAAAGCAGTGCTAAGAGGAAAGCTCATAGCACTAAGTGCCTTCATAAAGAAATTGAAGAGAGCTCATACTAGCAATTGAACAGCTCATCCGGAAACTCTAGAAAAAAAGGAAGCAGACACATCCAAGAAGAGTAGATGGCAGGAAATAAACTCAAAGTTGAAATCATTGAGAGGGTGTTACAGTGACCCAACTTAAAAGCAGGTTATGGTGATACTAATGCGGAGGATATACAGTTTCCCAACTGGCTAGGACATTACAGTGACCCCATCATGGAGGATGCTACTGTGACCCCACAGGGAGAACATAGTGACCCCCTGGCAAGGATATTAGAGTGACCCCTGAGAAGGAACTACAGTGACCACACTGCACAGGAAGCTACTTTGACCCCCACTGTGGAGGACATTATAGTGACCTCACTGGGACATTACCATGTCCTCAGTGGGGAGGACATTACAGTGACCCTGAGGAGGATGTTACAGTGTCCCCTGGGGAAGACCCTGTAGTAACCCTACAGGGGAGAAGTGTATAGTAATCCCACTAAGGTAGATGCTACAATGACCCCACTGGGAGAACATTACAGTATCCCCACAGAGGAGGAATTACTGTGACCCAAAAAGGTGGGATGTTGGAATGACCTGACAGAGAAGGACATCCCAGTTGCCTCACTGCATAGTGACCCCGCTAGGGAGAACATCACATTAACATTACTGGAGAGGAGGTCACCCAAACTTCAATGGACATCACAGTGGCCTCACAGCTGAGGATATCACAGTGACCCCACTGTGAAGAACTTTACAGTGACCCCACTGGATAGGACATTACATTGACAGCTCTGGGAGGATATTACAATGACCCTCTAGGGAGGTCATTACATTGATCCCAGTGGAGAGGATGTTAATGTGACCCCACTGGAAAGAAAATTATGATGACCTCACTGGGAAGGATGACACAGTGACCCCACTGGAGAGGATGAGGTAGTGCCCTCAATGAGGAGGACAATACTGTGACCCCCCCCATAGGGGAGGGTATTACAGTGATTCCACTGTGGAGGACTTTACAAGGACCTCAGTTGGTGGACAGTACAGTGTCCATAGTGGGAAGGACAACACAGAGACCCCACTAGGGAAGATGTTACAGTGACCTCACTAGGTAGAATGTTACCTTGACCCCATTGGAAAGGATGTTACAGTGACCCACTGGGGAGAAAGCTACAATGAGCCCACTGGAAAGAATACTACAGTGAGCCAACTGGAGAGGACTTTTTTTTTGTGACCCCACTTAGGAGGACGTTACAGTCCCACACTGGGGAGTACGTTACACTGACCCCTCTGGAGAGGATGTTATGATGACCCCCCTGGGGAACACATTATAGTGACCGCACTGGGGACCAGTGACACTGGGGTTAACATTACAGTGACCCCAATGTGGAAAAAGTCACAGTGACTCCACTGGAGAGGACACTACATTAACTCCACGGGAAAGAACTTTTTGTGATCTCACTGGGGGGCACATAATGGTGACCACACCAGGGAGGAAATTCTCGTGAACCCACTGGGGAGGATGTTACAATGATTCTACTAAACAGAACTTTTCAGTGACCTCACTTGATGGGCGTTATAGTGGCCACATTGGAGAGGACATTACAGTGATACCCCTGGGAAGGACACAGAGTAACCCTACTAGGGAGGACAAGACAATGTGTCACTGGGGAGGACTTTACTATGACCCCACTTGGGAGGACATAAAGTGACCCACTGTGAAGGACATTACGGTGACCTGACTGGGGAAAATGTTACAGTTTCCCCACTGGAAAGTACATTACAGTTACCTCACTGGGGAGGCCATTACACTGACACCACTGGAGAGGACGTTTCAGCTACATCCCTGGGTTGATGCTACAGTGACCCCACAGGAGGATGTTACAGAGACCACACTGGGTAGGGCCTTACAGTAACCACACTGGGGTGGACTTTTCTGTGACCTCACTAGGGAGGACATAGGTGACCACACTAAAATAGACAGACAGACAGACAGACAGACAGACAGACAGACAGACAGATTTAGATAGAGAAATTCCGGTGAGCTCACTGGAGCAGACATTACAGTGATTCCACTGGGGAGGATTTAACAGTGACCTCACTGCGTGGACATTACAGTGACCACACTGGAAAAGAAAGTGAGCACACTTGGGAGGACGCTACAGTGACCCCACTACGGAAGATGCTACAGTGACCTCACTCTGGAGGATGTCAAAGTGACCCCACTGGGAAGGACGTTGCTGTTACTTCACTGGAGTTAATGTTACCGTGACCACACTGTGGAGGAAGACACACTGAACCACTGAGGACATTACAGTGACCCCACAGGAAAGGACATTACAGAGAACACACTGGGGAGGACTTTTCACTGAATTCACTGGGGAGGACAAAACAGCGACCAAACTAGGGAAGAAATTCCTGTGAGCCCACTGTGGAGGACTTTACAGTGATCTCACTGGGTGAAGGTTACAGTGACACTGGGGAGGACGTTACAATGACCACACTGGGGAGGACGTTAGGGACACCCCAATTGGGGAGGACATTACAGTCACCCCCAATTAGAATTACGATAGCATGACCCCACTAGGGAAGACATTATGGGGACCCCACTGGAGAGGATATCACCGTGTCCCCACTGAGGAAGACCCTAAAGTGACCCCACCAGGGAAGACAATGTAGAGACTTCTGGGGAAAATGTTACAGTGATGGCACTACAGAGGACATTAAAGTGACCACACTGAGGAGGTTTCAGTGACCTCACAGGGGAAATGTTACAGTTACCCCACTGGGGATAACATTACAGTGGCCTCCCTGAGGAAGAGCTTACAGTGACACCCCTGAGGAGGACGTTCCAGTTACATGGCTACCAGGATGTCACAGCAACCCCACTGGAAATGCCTTACAGTTTTCTCACTGGGGAGGACATTAGAGTGACCCCACTGGGAAGGGGGTTTGTGCGACCCCACTGGGAAAGGCTTTATAGGGACCCTGCTTGAGAGGACATACAGTGAACACACTGGAGAGCACATCAGCGTGATCCCACTGTGGAGGAGTTTAAAGTGACCCCTCTAGGGAAACATTACAGCGACCCCTGCGGAGGATATTACGATGATGGCACTGGAGATGTTACAGTGACCCCCCCTAGGGAGGCCGTTACAGTAACCTCAGTGGGGAGGACACGATGGGGACAACACAGGGAAGGATGATACAGTGACCCACTGGGGAGCGTGTTAAGGTGACCCACTGTGAAGGATATACAGCTACTCCATTTAAGAGGACGTTACCGTGACCCAACCGGGGAGAAGGCTACAGTTACAGTGCTGGGAAGATGTTACAGCAACCCTAATGAGGATGTTCCAATTACCACACTGGGGAGGACGGTACAGTGATCTCATTGGAGAGGACTCTAGAGTGACACCACTTGGGAGGATTTCAAGGGGGAACCCCACTGGGAGGAGATCACAGTACCCCACTCAGGAGGACATCACAGTGAGCCCACTGGGGAAGACTTCTGTGTATCACTAGGACCACATTAGGACATGACTGTGACCCCACTCAGGAGGACATTACAGTGATTCCACTGTTGAGGACTTTACAGTGACCCCACTGGGGAGGAAGTTACTGTGACAGCACTGTGGAGGACATCACAGGGACCCCACTGGGGAGGACATTACAGTGCCCCACTGGGCAGGAGGTACAGTGACCCCTTTGAAAATGACATTATGGCAACCCCACTGAGAAGGACACTACAGCGAGCACACTGGGATGGACGTTACAGTCACCCAACTAAGGAGGACATTAGAATGGTCCCACTGAGAAGGATGTTATGGTGACGCCTTGGGGAGGACACACAATGACCCACTAGAGACTGCTGCACATGCATGCAGTGTGCCGACACATGCTTGTTTGTGCCTGTGCATGGCTGTCTGTGCATGCGTGTGTGTGCCTGTGCATGGCTGTGTCTGTGCACGCTTCTGTGTGTGTGCAAGCTTGTGAGTGCATGTGCGTGGATGCTGGACATCTGGGCATGCTTGTGTCTTCAGTGGGTACTCGTGTACCCTGCTGCACCCTTGTGTGCCTGTGCATACCTGTCAGTGTCTGAGCATGCTTATTTGTGCCTGTGCAGGCTTGTGTGTGTGTCTGTGTGTGCATGCACCCATGTTTCTGTGTGCCTGTGCATCCTTTTCGGGATCTGTGCGTGCTTGGAAGTACCTGTGCATGACTGTGTGCATGTTGATAATACTGTTTGTCTATGCATGCTTATGTGTGCATGCGCGTGTGGGTCTCTGCAGGCTTGCGAGTGCATGTGTTTGCTGTTGTGTCTGAGCACGCCTATGTTTCATGTGGATACCTGTATGTGCCTCTGCATGCTTGTGTCTGTGCATGCTTGTGTGTGTGTGCACTCTTGTGTGAGCCTTTCAATGTCAGAGCATGCTTCTCTACGTCTGTTCATGATTCTGAGTCCTGTACATGCTTCTGAGTGCCTGTACATGCTTGTGTGTTCCTGTGCATGCCTTTGTGTTGCTCTGCATGCATGTTGTATGCGAGTGCATGCTTGTGTCTGTGCATGTTTGTATGTGCCTTCACAGGCTTTTGTGTGTCAGTGCATGTGTGTGTGTGTGTGCTAATGTGTGTCTGTGCATGCTTATGTGTTTCTATGGATGATTGTGTGTACACAGGTCTCTTTCACCGCATAGAGGCTATAACCCTCTCTAATTCCTAGTGATGCCCAGGCTTCTAGCTGCGCTGGAGGAGACTCCCCTCTCCCATGCCCTTTTCTGAGCTGGTCTCCAGGGCAAGTCCTGGATTTGGGGCAGCAGTGGTCGTCACGGGTTTCTCAGGCAGGACTGCCCATACACATGTGTAGGAGACGGATGACACTCAAGGCTGCACGTGTGTGTTTAGTGAGGTAGGAAGGACCAGCCTGGAGTCAAATGGTATCATTCTGTGTTCCAGGATTTTCCCTGCTTCAGATCCTCCACACCCCAGCAGCCAGACCTTCTAGTCTTGATGACCTGTAAGAGGCAAAAGGAACAGCTGGGCTCATGTCTGTGGTTTTAAGAGTCCCTGATCCTGTTCTATCGTGACAAAAGCTCCTATCAGCTGTGGTTACCCAGACTTAGACTCCCAAGCCTAGAAGGTAGAAGCAGGAGAAGCAGAAATTCAAGGCTAGCCTGAGCTATAGACCTTTCTCAGAAGAACAAAACAAACAAAAAATCTGAGTCATGTAACAAGGATAGGCAGGCCTGAGGTCTACCAGCTTGGAATCAGATTCGGGGTCTGTCCTAGACACTCTTTTCTGGGTTGTCTGTGTAGCTTCTGTGCCCTTCCCTCTGACTCAGAGTCACCCTAATTCCCTGGATCTTCCTCCTGGGACTGCACTGTTCTGTCTTTGTTGTGCTCTCTTCTAGCCCTAGCCCCAGCCCCTCCAGGGGGAAGGTGGGAAGGGGTCGGGCATATCGCTTGAGTCCTGTGGGCTTGCCTTCTTGAAACTGCTTGCTGCCCCTCTGCGGTCCTCTCACCTGCGCTCATGTCTTTGGGGAGCTGCCCCGTCTCCAGGAAGAGCCACAGGTCGCTGCACTTCTGAGACTCCATTCTCGTCACTCTGTAGCTGGCCACAGATCCTACAACTGGAGAGCAGGAAGCAGGAGGGCGGTGGGTTGGGGACCTCAGTCTCTGCACTTTTGAGACGGGGCCCTGGCACAAGCTACTTGTGGACAGACGGGGTGGATAGGCTCCAGCCAAAACCAGCTGGATCACAGGTTTTTATCTGAAACACACCAACCTTGTAGAGCCACTGGTGACCGATGCATTTCAGGACCTAGACACCCACCACGGAGTACTCACCGGCAGACAGCAGGAAGCTCCACTGCACAGGGTATGGAAACTTCCGCTTAATGAACATCTGCAGGACGAAAGTCACGCCAGTGCCTGCAAGAGCCAAGGAATCAACAGTCAGCCAGGGTGCCTACTTCACCTGCAGGCAAGAAGACTTGGCGCCACCTGCTGGGCAGACAGGGTGGGACAGTAGGTTACAATGTTTTCCCTTTAAGGCGTTCTTTTTGCTCCCCAAGCCCCCCGCCCCCGCCCCGGAACCAGCCTACCTGTGACAAAGGTGAAAACGCCCTTCATAAAGGCGTTTGACTGGCACGCGGCATATTCCCCGAGTCCCTGGAATGAGGGGTGGAGTGGGGGAGTGTTTATGGCTCAGTTCCCTTTCCTTCTCTCCTGATCCTCCTTTGGGCATAACCTGGCCTTAGAGAGGAAGACCGGCAATGGATATATCCCACCCTCCCCCAAACCAATTCAGCATACCCTATCCCTATGGCAGGAGGGTCCACCCCCTCCGCCACTCCCTTTGAGGCTCCCCCTGCCTCTAGTCTCCCTCAGAACAGCCTCTAGGGAGAGCACCCCAGGTCAACCTTCTCACCGGGTGCTTGGCAGCCACCGTGTCATCCACACGGGACAGGCCCAGATTCACCATGCTTATTCAGGTTCCGCCAGGAAAGAGAGTCAGACCGTGGGCGGGGTGGGGCCTAAGACTCGGGCCTGCGCAGAATGTAGCAGAGAGAGTCAGGCCCGGACTGCGCGGCCTAGCGGGCGGAACCTATACTATGAGCTCAGGTGGGCGGGCCAGAGCAGGACTGGATCTCACTTGGACCTATACTTCGCTTGAAGTTGAGTTTGGAGGATTTTTTGTGCCCCTGAACGCAGCCCTGGCTTTCCGCCACTGTTAGCATTTATTTAAAAAATGTTGCCAAACACACAGCAGATATTATATTAAAGAGATTTATTGGATGGAGGTGTAGAGAGAAGAGAGAGAGAAAGAGGAGAAGGAGGGGAAAAGGAGAGAGAGAGAGAGAGAGAGAGATGATGGGGCAGGAAAAAAAGCGAAGCAGAGAGAGCAAGAGAGTAAGAGAGAGACACAGTGGCGGTTGATACTTTTATAGCTGTGTGTGTGCGGAACTGAACCTTGTCTGCCACACGCACCTGGCCTGCGACACGTGACGACATCTAGGTTACTAGGCAACCCAGAAGCAGGCTGCCACCCTCATTTTCACACTGGTAGAGCTGCAGTGGCTGTTCTTACTACACGAAATGGAGCTTTGTTTTAAGACTACAGTTTCGGGTTCTCTCTCCGAAAGCCACAACGGAGCAGACACTTTTGGAATTCCAAAAGCACAATTGAGCCTGTTTCTTGGTGTCAGGACCTGAGGTGCTATGCAGGAGCTCATAGAGCTAGGCTGGTTGCCCTGTGACAGTCAGAAGGTATTGGCTGGCAGGGGGAGGCCAGGACATGAGACATCCAAGGAGGCTCCCGGAGGGGAGCACGTGGACTGAGCGTTCTGGAAAGCATGAGCCAGGAGTGGAAGAGGAGTGAATGGCGTGCGAAAGAGAACCCTGTGCCTTGTTTCAGAGCTGGAGGGGGCCAAGGACTTTGCTGTGGGAAGCAGACTGCAAGCAGGCAGTTTACCTGATACCGACTTTGCCAAGCCAGCGTGAGATGAGCGGGAGACAGAGAGGGGCAGTTTCTGTGCAGATCCCTCACTCCAGGTTAGAAGTCCTCTTTGTAGCATAGCCTGATTGGGGTTAGAGACTGTGGACAGCAGGTCTGGGCAGATTAGGGGTTGCCAGGTGATTGCGCCTGGATGAAAAGAAGTGTGTTGGGGATCTGGCTGCGGTGTGCTCCCCAGTCTTCCTAGCACTGGGGAGGCTAGATGATCTGAATCAGTCAAGGCTAAACTTAAGGGCCTGTTTCAGACGGGGCTGGGGGAATTGAACTCAGGTCTTCATGATTGCTTGGGGAGAACTTTAAATACTCTTCAGCCCCCCCCCCTTTCTTTTTTAGTTATGATTCTCTGTGTGGGTGTGTGCATATGTGTGTAGGTGCCTGCATAAGCCAGAAGAGGGCACTGGAGCCCTTGGATCTGAGTTGCAGGCATCAATGAGATTGGCCTGATATGAGTGCTGGGAACTGAACTCCAGTCCTCTATAAGACTAGTAAGTACTCTCATCTGCGGAGCCAACTCTCCAGCCCCCCAGTCTTCTTTCTCCTCCTCCTCCTCCTCCTCCTCCTCCTCCTCCTCCTCCTCCTCTCCCTCCTCCTCCCCCTCACCCCCAAGGCAAGGGTTCTTTGTGTAGCCCTGGCTGTCCTGGAGTTTGCTCTGTGGGGCAGGCTGGTCTCTAACTCAGAGATCCTTCTTCCTTTGCCTTCCCAGTACTGGGCCTAAAGGCATGGGCCACCACACCCACATATACTCATTCTTTTTGTTGTTGTTGTTGTTCTTTCTTTCTTTTTTTTCTTCTTCTTTTTTTTAATATTGATAATTGGGTGGTAGAGAGATGGCTCAGCATTAAGAGAACTGGCTGCTCTTACAGAGAACCTGGGTTCCATTCCCTGCACACTCGTGCAGCTCACAACCATGTGTAACTCCAGTCCCAGGGAATCCAGTGTCCTCATTTGGTTTCCACAGGTGCCAGGTACCTGTGGAACATGCTGGCACATGCTACACAGACATATTCACAGGCAAAACACACATATACATTAAATGAAAAGTTTTAAAAAATAAATTATTGCTTATTAATTAAATGATATTTTATATAAAATCTAGAGCAGCACAACTGCTCCTAAAAGTAATGGACCCCAAGTCTCATCAGCTGGCATTAGCTGGTACCTAACAGTGGAAGAGACTGTACAGCCGGTAGTTCCCTTCAGGACACTTGGAGCCCTGGAGTATCCAGGAAGAGGACCCCTGAGTGGTGATGCCCCTGTCTTCAGATCCCCACTCCCACCCCTCACTTGGGCTTCTGCTGCCTCCCTTCTCCCACCCAGGTTCTGCACTTTTTCCTTGCTTTTCCTGCTGCTCTATGGAGGACAATGGGTTGGGTTTGTGTCCCCAGCTGAGGCTCTAAGAGACCAGCTCACTATCATGGGAACAGTGGCTCTCCCTGGTGTCCCCAGATTTGCCCCAAAGAGTCACTTCAGTGTGTTGCTATGACCTAGTGTGTTCATGTGGATGCAAGTACCATTTGCCTCACCCTGATACTGGCACCCATTCTACTCCTTCTCTGTCAGCCTGGATGTTTTGATGCTTTTCTTTTTAGGGCCCAGGCGAATAGGTCTCACTCAAATTGCTACCTCTACCTTCTTACTTGCTCCCCACTTTTCACTGCTTCAAGACCCTGAAACCTTGGCAAGGCTGGGTCATCAATGATCACAGAGCTCCTGGCCTGCTTGTCTTTGTGTAGCATTTTCCCATGGTGGGTCCTGGCTCTGTACTCCTGGGCCTAGGCCTGGGCCTGGGCATAGCACTGCCACCCTGCTACATGGCTGTGGGCTGCACTGGGGGCCTTGCCCTCTGAACCTTCCAGAACAGGGAAACTTGTTTCTTGAGAATGAGCCTAGGATGGCTCTCTGTCCTTTGACTGATGGCTACTCAGTCTTTTGGATGTCAGCTTGTTCTTATGTATAGTGTGAACATCTGCCCAGTGGTATCTGGGCTCCTTCTGGCTGAGTCTCAGGCATCTAAGGCTTCCCTGTGCCCCTCAGCAGGACCCCTGTTCATCCCACTGTCCTCCCAGAGTTCCTGAGGTCACTATGCCCCATCTATCTGCCTCTTGTTTTGGGGGGCTATACTCAGCACTGGCCACTTTGACCTATGTCCCCTGTGTCCAGAGTGGCCATAGAGTTGCTGTGATAGAAGAGACTATGGGAAGGACCTCCAAGCCCCCATGTTGTGCCTCTCTGTTCAGGGCTTCAGCACGCACTGACTCAGTGTCCCTTTGGCCTTTTCACTCATTCATGGGTTTGTTCCTGGGAGTGGGTCTTGGGAGGCTGTGCTGTCTCCTCCCTGGCACTGCTGTCTTGGTAGCTTTCTGGGTCTCAGCCTCAAGGTTGCCATGGATGTTTGGGGGCCTCCCTTGCCTGCTGTCCTTTGATGCTGCAGATCGTCTCAGAGTCCAGGCTGCCATTTATTCTTCTTTGACCTCTATCAGTGTACACTGATCATGTGCTGGACAGTACCAGAAGGGAATGTAGAGAGCACACACACAGACAACATGCAGAGTTCACTTTCTCACAGTCCCTTCCATCAGTGTCCCCACATGGCCTGGACATGGCTGCAGGGATAGAGGTAGGGGCACCTTAGGATGCCTGGATCTTCATCTCAGCAACCTTATAGGAGTAGAAGTGGCCTTGGCCAGGTAGCCAGTTGATGCCATCTGCCTGACTCTCATGAGAGCCAGGCAGGTAGCGTCCACTGAAGTTGAAGTGGTGACAGTTGTGATACCACCAGGCCCCATGGATCAAACCTGCACAAGTCTTCAGCTTATTTTTTTTTTTTTGTCATTATCTTGGTCATGGGTTGTAAATGGCAAGCCGTTGTGCATTGTCAGAGAGTCTCCTGGAAAGACTCAGCCCTCAAGGCCAAGGCAGAGCCCAGCCCAGATGGTCAGGGGCAGCTTGCAGGCTCCTGTCCATGTCCCCAGTAAACAGCCTCTAGCTTTCTGTGTGATTTACCTGCAGTGTCCCCAAGAAACTGCCCCAGGGTCAGCTTGTATTTCTCCTGTTCTCCAGACACCCTGAATGAGCTGTACTTGGCATAGGAGATTTCACCTTGGGAGTCTCGAAAGCTTACCTTGAGTTCTTGGTTCCCTAGTGACACCGGCAGAGGAAAGGAAAAGGTTGAGGCCAAGCAGAGTAGTGGAAGGATGACAAGTACTGGCCAAGGTGCTGCTTCTCACCATTGGATGTGAGCAGGTGCAGGTAATCATTGCCCAGCCAGAGCTCTGTGCCCAGGTTGCCAAAGCCTCTCTTATAGTAGTCCAAGTCTCAGAAGAAATCGATGGATCCATCCACTCATCATTGAAAAACCTGTGGGGTGAGCAGGGCAGCCTGTGGGTGTGGGGCTCCAAGGAGTAGGGACTGGAGGGGTATATCCAGGCCCTGGTTTTGTTTGCTTGTCTTGTTGGTTTTTTTCATTCCTATAAAGAAGTAAATGAGGACAAGGTTTCAGGAGGCAGGCAGCACAGGTGAATGAACAGGTGATTGGTGGACTCTAGTGGCCCATGCAGAAGGCAGCGCTGCCAGATGTTTTGATGCATTGGTCACGACTGGGGTCCTATCACCCACTTAACTTACTTCACAGAGTTCTAGATTCTGGTCCATCAGTGCTTAGGGTCTCCTTTGAAGAGGCACCACATTTCGTCTGGTTACTCTGCCATCTTCCCTGCCTGTGGGTCTCCAGAGTGTGGCTGCTGTGTCAAATCTCTCATGTCCACATTGAGCCTTCTTATTCACTGTCCAGCAACACTGTCCACAGCCATGTCACAGAGCACAGTCAGCGGCAGGCTGTCAGGAAGACAGATGGTGTACCAGCTGGTCAGGGAGACTCCTCGTGTCAGGTGTCATTGCAGCTCCCGGATCCTGTGCCGTGGAAAAGTGAGCAGGATTGGCGTGGGGTATGCTGCAGGGTTGGAAGCCCAAACAAGAGGATCCAGTAATATGAGGTCCTGCACTGTATTCTCCACGGCA